TATCAGTTACTTAGAGTTAGTTTCCAGTACAGGAACTCTATAGGTTTCGATCGTTGTATCTCACCGAACCTTCAAGTCCGCCTTCATTCGGTTCTCTAAAGTTATATAATAGTTCCTTATTCACCAGCATTTTCCAGTCTATTCTTAAACAAAATAAAGGGATCGTGCGCTCACCACCTGCGATGGTAAATCATTTCAAATGTTCACCACTCTGACTGTAAAATAGTTATTTCTTTTAGATGTTAAAGTCTGTTGTGACTATAATTTCTTTTCGTTACATTGTTCATCAATTTGATGATCGTAGATGCCTCGCTGTCGTATATTCCCTGTATTATCGCGAATGTTTCGATCATATCCGCGCTTAGTACAAATATTAACACCCGGCCTCCTCTGCGGCGGCCGGATATTAAATCGATCCCATGCCTTGTAATGGAGCAAGCCCGGTGTGATTCACACCGGGCGATTTTAGAAATAATTAACAGCACATTGGTCTGCATCTATAAATAGGGTTGTAGTATGAACTATTTCTGTTCTACCTAAAATGTCGTTAAATTATCAAGTAAACGTAGCAAGCGCAATCGAAATCTGAATTGATCGTCATGTTGGAAAGTTCGTCTCTATTCCAATAAAGGTCAGACGTCTAAATATGGGTGTCATGACCCAATATGGACATTGTAGTAAACATGGCGGCATCAGTAGTTATACTATATTTGGCCATGCAGGCCATATATAGAAAGGGTAATTGAGATTACATCACGCGTGATCTATCATGGCGGTCGTTTCTATTCTTTTCCCCAAGATGGACTTGGCTAATTTCGTAAAAGAGTTTTTTTACATTGGTAAGGATTCGTTTTTTCAACAATTATACAATATTTGGATAACATTATACTCATATGAGACGTGAATTATATGTAATCTTACAGATTAGCACTTTTGATTTTGCTCCATTAGTTGGCATAGGACCTCTTCGTAGCTCTGACGACGCAATATAAATGTATATAAAAAATCTTTCGTCGTCAGAAAGCTACGTTTTCGCAGCTAATCCGCGCTGTGTCGTCTATAAGCTGATGTAGGCAACTTCTGGGTTTTTTTTGTTTTTCTGGGAAGGATAGGTTTTGTAATCCAAGGAAGCTGTATGGAGATTTATGACGTTGTAGAACAAGAACAGAGTGAAAGAGGAGTTGTGGTTAAGAAATCCGACTTTCAGAAAATGCAGAGTTGCTGGAGGGTGCTGACTGACAAACAAACATGATTTAAGAGTCGAAATTGTTGTGCGCCACACCAGCAATAATCTTATGCAGTCTCCAAGCTAAATTACAACGCGACCAAGAACAGTTTAAGCTGAATGTATAGTGAAAGAAGGCAATACAAAGTTACAACGCAAGTTTTGGAGAAATTTAAGTTCATGTAGTTTATGGACAAGTTTCCTGGTCACATCACGATCTCGTTTGGAAATGTTTTATTTCCTTGTACGATGTGAAGATCAATATTTTTAATTTTACTCATTATTTTGTAACTAATATCACATATTTGCCAGGTATAGCATTCAGAATTGAGTTTACACACAAAAACCTTTGTCTTTTAGTGATTTTATGTTCCTCCTTTACAGGTCCCGTGGCGAACGCCCTCAGTGAACGATACTCCCACAGACTTGTGGTATTTGTCGGCGGGTTAGTGGCTACCATTGGTCTAGTTAGTACATCGTTCGTCCAATCAGTGCCCGCATTCTACGTTACTTATGGAGTACTGTCAGGTCGGTATATACGCAGTATTTAATATAAAGTCGCCGAGGAAGCCGCACTGACTGTTCCCGATATGACATTTCGTAATTTCGCTTTGTCGCCAGCGAAAAGACGCCAAGCGACAAAACGAAATAACGAAAACACGATAACCCACCAAAGAGAATTAACGAAAAAGCGTCAAACCGTACAAATATAATGGCGTCTTTTCTCCTTTCTTTTGGTGTGTTATTTCGTTATTTAGCTTTGTTTTTTTCCCTCTTTTCGTTCTGCGGTTAAAACCACCATAGATACATATATAAGAAAATCAAGTAATTTGCATTGCACATGATTATACATTCAACAGCAGAAAACATTTTGAATGAAAGGGAGAGAAGTCAAGTAGAGCATTGTTCTATTTAACGATTGGTCGTCTGTCAGATTGCAGTTACAGCCAATATGAATGCAATCTGACAGACATTTAATCTTTATATTTACATTTCCTCATACGACATGTCTTTAATTTATTAGCCGGATGAGCTTAATGTATAATTCTGCTGCCGCAAAAAAAAGCTCACTGGTCTAATTCTTGGAACAGCCGCAGACGGCCATTATCGGACCAAAACCTTTCAAAGAACAATAGCCATTCAGAAATGAAACCAGGCGACAACTGTTAAATGCAGTTCAATTCTCTAATTATAAGTACAGAACATTTTCATACAAAAGTAGGAACTTACCTTCCTATTCTGGGTGTTTTTATTGTCTGTAAAGCCCGTCAAAATGCGACTTAAATGAACCAAACAACAACAAGATGGTGGCTATCGTATCGCTAACATTGACGTCACAGGAATGCATAGTCATATATCCAGATAATTCAAACTGCAGTTACTGTCCAGAAACTGCAGGGTGACTTTCTATAGAGTCAATGGAAAATGGGAAGGGCATATGTAAATATAATGTTTTAACAGCACAAGAGAGACAAAATGTGACAAACATTATTCAGACTAATTAAATCAATTTTTGTTTCGGTTTCTTTCCAGATTTCTTTTTTACAATTCAGTTCATATTTGTGTTAATAACTTATAAAATCAAAGATCTCATATCACGTAAGCATTATCCAATACTCAATAAATACCTTACACCTGGTAGCTTTACGACACGTGTACGAGTGTAACACACATGTTTTAATTTTGTCGTCCTCAGGAGTTGGTTTTGGCTTGTGTTTATCTCCATCCATCACCTTCCAGGGATTTCACTTCCGGAAGCGACGCGCGCTTGCTAATGGACTTTCCGGATCTGGTGCTGGAGCTGGAGCGTTTGCTCTACCACCCGTCATCCGGGTTCTCATCAACTATTACGGTCTTGGAGGGTGTCTACTCCTCGTTGGGGGTTTTATGTTCAACACTTGTGTTTTTTGTTCTCTTTATAGGCCTCCCTCCTATTGGACGTTGCTTAACAGAGCCAAACGCAAAGTGGATAGTAAGGCAAAAGACGAAGAAAACCTGCACTTAGATAGGGATACTACACTACCATTATTGGTAAAAACAAATGGTTTTCACTCAGAATCAGCTGATGATAAAAGTGATAATAGAGTAAGAAGCGATACCAATCCAGACGAAAGGAACAGAGATACACAACAGGAAGCTCTGTACAGTCAGCCACCACTAAACCAGGAACAATCGCTTCATGTAAAACTTCTTAATCTAAAACTAAATGAAACAGACCATCACTTATCCACTTCGTCACTGCCGTGTATAACCGGTAAACAGATCAGTGTAGGAGGTATAACACGACAGAGAACAGAGTCAGTCAGAGTGGGCTCCGCTCAACAAAGCAAAGCGCTAACATCAAACGATCTTGCAAAAAGTTTCTTGTTCGCAAGTGTGGAATCCTTCCCCTCTCTCACCGGATCAAGACTGTTCCATACTGATATACAGGAGCATAACGGACACGCCCCCGTTGATGAATCAGAGGAAATCGTCAATACAAAGAAAAACAGAATATTAGAATGGAGTTTACTAAAGAGTCCCACTTACCTTGTGTTTATATTTGCAATATTTACGGGAGTGATGGGTCAACACTCCCTGTTCAACATTCTACCCCCAGTGGTCAATGAAATGGGGATCAGTGACGAACAGGGTGCCGTAGTGGTGTCCGTTCTGGGCGCAGCTGATCTCATCGGTCGAATCTTTTTTGGTTGGTTAGCCGACTTCGGATTTATACAACGTCAAACAATGTATCAGATTAACCTGATGTTGTTTGCCCTGATAGGGTTCATTGTGCCTCACGTGACCTCATTTATTGGATTCTGTTTGCTGTCCATGTTGCTTGGGTTTTTCTCCGGGGGTTACACGGGAATTCAAGTGGCAGTACTCGCAGACAAGGTTGGGGTCGACAAACTGTCCAGCGCCTGGGGATTTGCCGCCTTTTTCGCCTCACTAGCACTACTGGTGAATCCCATGCTGGCAGGTATATTGTCTCGGAACATTGTTCCGCCATACCTTTCCTGTACATTTTCCAAAGTAAAATATTATTGCTTTTTATATTAATTATCTTTAGCTCAAACCTATCATAGCAATAATTACAGACACCAATTTAATAGTGGCTAACAGGCCTGCGAAGGAAATACGGAAGTTCTATTTTAAAAGCATGCTTTGTTGTGTTACAGGTATGATTCGTGACGTCACGGGGTCGTGGCTAGGTGCACTCAGACTTGGAGCAGGTGTAGCAGCGTTTGGATCAGGATCACTAATCGTTGAAGTTGTTCTGAACAGGTTACGACGCTGACCACGTGATTATATTAAACATTATAATTATGAAATTAGTTGTTTCTTTTTTGCTACTGTATACGACCTTGTTCAAGTTCGTTTAAACTGGAACTGATAGCGACATATTTCTCAGTCATATCATCGGGTGGTCAGGTGGCGCAGTGGATAACGCACTCGCTTTTCACCAAGGCGACTGGAGTTCGATTCCCCGATCGGACGTGAAAAGGTATGGGGTTCACACGCACGACCACGTTGGTTTTCTCAGTATAATCCGGTTTCCTCCAACATTTACACACCCAGCACGCTAACATCCGGGCCAACAAAAGTGATAAGTAGAAATTTAAATTAGTTGTTTCTTAATAGTCGTAAAATAAAAGTTTATGGTTATATTTACATCATCATCGAATAAACGGCTACATAACCTATCACAGCTCTGCCTATATGAAATCTCTTTGGGAAACCGTGATGAAATGGTATACTAATGGAATGTGTCATCCTCTAGATTCTTTCCCGAGGGTTGAGATATCCCCTTTCTCAATAACAAACTTGATGAATGAATATTGTTCTCTTAAAATAAACTTTGTCATGTACTCAATATTTAATTAAGTTGAGAAATCAATGCATTTTTAACGCGACGTTGATGCATTGTTGACGTCACTTCAATATATTGTTGACGTAGTCAACCTTAGGATGAAACTAATTAAATATTTCTCCGCATTGGGGGTAGACTATAAGACTCATTCATGTCCAGGGGTGCAGGATAGGGAAATTCCACCCAAGTTTTTTTTTCGAATTTTGCCAAATTTGAGTATCTAGTTTCCTATTCTTCACCCATAGGCATGGAAGAGTATTTTTCTCACATACAACTATCAGAATTAGCTCAAAAAACATGAAAATGCGTTGGGACTGGGTACCATTTTGAAAATATCAATTTTTCCCAGGATCTTTTTTGACGAAAACGAATTCGTAAGTGAGATTTAGCATACCTCATATTTGGAAACAATGTCTGCGCAGAAGAAAAAAACTCATCTTTCTAACGTGTACGGTAAACATATCGTTAAAGGTTTTGATTTCATCACGTTGTCTTTTCCGCATTGCACCATCTGTGTTTTCCAAATTCGTGAAGACACGTCATAACTGAGCTATTGTGACGTCACGCCCATGTAAGATTGATTCAGCAAGCATAGCTGTCTTACATGGCCAGCGTTATCTAACATGACCGGATATGAGAGAGAGAAAAATTCAATCCATGAGTTAAACTCCTCAAGTGTCTAGCCGGAGACTTTGCCAGGTTCAGATATTTAGAAATATTACCCCAAGAGTTGACATTTTTCTGTCTTGCTCCCAAAATGGAGAAAGATATTTTTCTCTCACTTCTGAAATGCAAGAGGAGATTTCATGAAACTCTTATGTTGATTCCGCCGTTTCAAGCAAATCTAATTATTTTGATCTTCCGTGATCTGCAATTTCTTTAATTGACGCCATATACTTAATGGGGATTCTCCTTGATGTACTTTCCCATTGGGCAAGACGGAGAATAGATCGCTGACCGGAAGTGTGGATATCTCTGTCTAATGAGGAGAATAATAAATCTATGACTCCTGTGTGATATACACGGAGGAATATCATCCCATGGATAACATTCTTGAATCTTTGCCGAGGACGCTAAGGTGACGATTTCAATAATAGCGCGTATGTTCTCCCACCCTTCACAGGTGTCCATTTAAGCCGGGAAAGATCAGTTTGTCAGATTCAGATTGTTTTATTCCTTGTGTAACACACATCGGAGAGTAGACATACAAATAGTACAGTATATTACAAATTTACAATGATACATGTATACGATAATATTCATTAATCTTGCAGTACTTCAAAATGACATATAATAAGAGACAGCATTTTACACTGAAATACACCAACATCGTAAGGTTCCGATACAGTGCAAGCATAACAATAGTATAACTTTCAATGACGTACGTTATAGGTAATGATAACTGGATTAATATAGTTACATACATTGTATCGCACATATGTCACGAATAAATACTCTCTAGTAGAACAGTAAAAAAAAATGAAATACACTGCCATAGTGTAATAAATACGATGTTACACCTGACGTTAGTGACAGTGATATTACGATATAGAAAATACTCGTCGATGTTTCGAAGTTGTTAATTATGATTATTTACCATATAATTTATTTCACATATGAAAGGAAATGAACGGGCACAAACACCTTTTTTTTTTACACTATATACACAAAATACAAATATCTTATCAAATATGGTATACTGAAATGAACATTTACAGGAAAAATGAGATAAAATATTATACAGTGTTATTACGACGTTTTAAACTTAAAAACAGGAATTTTCCAAATTATTTAATTCCTTAATGTTTTGAGTAGTAAATAACTGTATCAATTTGAAAACACTTGGTCGTTTGTAATAATAGGGCTTAATAAACTCGCGCCTTAAGTCGTTATAAAAGTTACACTTTAATATAAAATGAAATTCGTCTTCAATATCATTAGAGTTACATAAGTTACAGAATCTTTGTTCTCTAGGAAGGTTTCTATATCTTCCCTGTTCAATATTTGAATTATGAGAGCTAAGTCTAAAGCGAGCTAAAGTCTTTTTATATGAATTATCAATTGGCTTTATTAAATATGATTGCAAAGAAAAATTGTCTATTAGATGTTGATAAAGGAATCCTTTCGGAGTTGTTTGGATATTAGTTAATATTTCCTGCCGGTAAAAGTCAAAAAGTCTTTGCTCAATGATTGTATAGATATTTCTATCATTTCTAACATTTTCCCAAAGGTAAGTTAAACCTAATTTGTTGAGTTCTGTGCGGATATCAAGAATCCAATTATCATTTGATAAAATTCTTTCCTCGTAACATGTTTTTAAAATGCAATTATTCGAAGTTTTTAATTTTAACCAATATTTAAAAACTTTCAGTTTTCTACATACAGACAATGGTAATCTTCCTAACTCACAATAAACTAAATTATTACACGTACTCTTCTTGACTCCGAGTAGCCTTTTACAGAAATGTAAGTGTATCTTTTCAACATCAAGAGCTTTATGAAAGCCCCATACTTCTGCACTGTAACTTAAGACGCTATTAATATAAGTGTCGAATACAGAACATTGTGTTTTGATATTAAAATTATGATTTTTGAACTTATTACAAAGCGCATAATATGCCTTATTACCCTGATCTGCAACATGCTTTTGAGTGACATAAAATTTACCATTGTAATTAAAGAGCATGCCTAAGTAATTAAACTGGTCGACGACTTGGAGCTCTTTAGTGTCGTAAAACCATTTTTCGTTGTTTCGTATCCCGCCACCATTCCTGAAAACTACTATTTTCGTCTTATCAGTGTTCAAATTGAGTTTGTACTTGTTATTATATGATTTCAGAGCTTCCAGAATATGTTGTAACTTTTCTGGCGTTTCTGCAAATAGCACCGTATCGTCAGCATACATTAAAAGAAAAATGTTAATTAAATTAATTTCAATAGATGGACAACCTTCTTTTATAAAATGAATTTCACAGTCATTGACGAACATGGAGTATAAAATGGGTGACAAAATTTCACCCTGAAATAGACCGATTGTATTTGAAAAAAAATCTGAATACAAACCATTGTGCTTTACACATGACTTAACTGAACTATACAACGATTGAATTATACGTAACATTTTCCCTCTAACACCCTGCTTAATCAATTTGCACCACATATGAGATCTGTCGATTAAGTCAAAAGCTTTCTTGTAATCAACAAAGCAACAGTAAAGTCTACCACCTTTTTTACTTAAATATCTATTAATTAAAGTCTGAAGTACAAATATTGCATCAACGGTTGAATGTCCGGGTCTAAAACCAAATTGAGCATCTGTTATTACATTATTTTTAACATCCCAATTAACTAGTCGCTCATTCAAAATGGAGGTAAACAACTTCCCCATGCAACTGACTAGAGTAATGCCCCTGTAATTATTTGTATTTTCTATATCGCCTTTCTTATATACGGGGGTAATACTCCCAGTAGACCAAGCTTCAGGGAAAATCCCTAATTGAAAAATATAATTAAAAAGTTTGATTAAATATGGAACAAGTATATCATTGCAATCAATAAAAAGTTCATTAAGCATTTTGTCCTCACCACAACTTTTATTTCTACTTAACTTATGTATTGCAGAAATAACTTCTTTTTCTGTGATATGGGAGTCGAGTTCTTCAAATACACATGATATATTATTTTCATCTAAAGTTGTTTCGCCTATCTCGTGAACTGGATTACCTTGACAACTTAAATCTTTAAAATGATTGTAGAATTTGTCAAGAGAAATTTTGTTAGAAACTTTAAATTTTCGTTTCGAAAAGTATTTATAAAAATGTTTCGGGTTGTGTTTTCTAAGATACTCCATCATATCACCCTCCTGTCGCTGATATTCTCTCTTCAGTCTTAACTCAAACTTCTTATCATCAGTTTTTTTCTCAATTAATATTCTATGATTATCAGCAGTTTTAAAATTGTTAAATGTATGTAAGGCATCTTTGTATATCTTATATATCTGCTTACATGGAAGATTAAACCAGGGTTTATCCTCATGCTGAATACTTTTTTTCTTTGATACATTATCAGTTATAGTTGACTTACATCTATGTACATCACACAGTGGTAAACACATCTCATTTAGAAAAGAACAAAGTTTGTCAACACATAATTCGACATCTGACTTGTTTAACAAAGGTGTAACGAGGAGTTCGCTTAATACATTGATAAGCGGGAGATAGGCTCGTGCCGATTAGCACGTGTTCAATTGTGAGATTATGAAAATGTGTCGACGGTGATTGTGACGTCATCAAACGTGAAAGGCGATATTCATGCCCCACAATACATGTTTTTTTAAAATTTACATACAGACTACTGTCGGTGGAATTTTGACTGAAACAATAGGATGGAATAAAAATAATCCTCCCCTACCAAGAGGGTGTAACAGAGAAATATCAAACCTCTGTCACACCCTCAAGGTAGGGGAATATTCTATTATTCTTTCCTCTAGCAAAACTGGGAATACACCAGTGAAGTTTCGGTTTCTCTGTCACACCCTTGGAGATTTTTAGTTTAAACCATTGCGAATATTTAAGTTACTTTAAAGCATTGTTGACGTAACTTCAAGCTATTGTTAACGTTCAGTGGCATCAAACATTTTAATGACTTTGGAATACCCACGTAACAACCTTTGCAGTACCACATACATGAGTTCATATGACGTTATCAGTGTATTAAGATTTTAACGTTAACAGTATATGTGTAAATTAAAATCGCTGTCTTAGCATTTGATCGGAAAATTAAAATCAAAAACAGAAATGCATACACAAGTTGTCAATATCATTTGCATACTAAGAAACATATTTACTAGAATCTAAATTGAAACATAAATTGAAATATACACATACGTGAATTATGACACAGTATACAGTATAAAGCAGGCGCGGAATTAGGGGGGGGGGGCACACCCGGCCTCCCCTTTTAGCGGCGGACTGACCTTTTCCGGGCCGGCCCGAAATGGTCTGATCGGCCGGGAATGGGTACATATTAACATTTTAAAATGCATCAAATAATGCACGGAGCTTGTTAAAAAAAAGAAATCCGGGGCTACGCCCCACACATCCCATATGGCATCTTAGCAAATATTGTGGGTTTCCGTTATCTGATATTTTTACTATATTTTCTTTATTAAAACAATATTTGTTGGCATCGCTACGCTATCTTGACCCTTAAGTGTGTTTTTTATTTTACCACCTCCGCAAAACCCCAAGTTGCAACTTGCAACGCTCGGCGGAAATATACTAGCATAAGTTGCATAATTATATTATTGACCGCTCGTTATAGATAATCTGAAAACTAATACTTTTTATTGTAACCTTCCTAACCGCCCGGGCGATATTAATCATATCATTATACAACAACGATAAAGGTTTTTTTCGGCTGACAAAATTATGTATAATCGACTAAACATATCCATTCAATTATTTTGGTATTATATATAATGTTGGAACTGTTTAACTATCTTGTATGTACAACATAATATTTATAGCTTACCATTGTGTAGTCACACAGTACGTACAAGAAAGTATCTTCACACAGCATACTATTGTGTACGTAGTAATAAGTTGTACGTACCGGAATGAGATAATATGCTGTACTTACAAGTATGATAATTTTAAATTAAATTTAAAGGTGACGCGTATGTGCCTCCTAAGTTGTACCATTTTAACCAGATAGCTTAGCAAATGTACCACTGTTGGTAATATGCACGCCCTTACATGAGTTAATCAACGTGGACATTTCAGATATATCGTTGTCTACACTAGTGAATTAGTCAACAATTATAAAACGCGAGACTATATAGCTAGTAGCCTTGGGTGTCGCACGGATTTGAACTTATCCGTTTGTTTAGAACTTAGTGATGCCATGAGTAACTCATTAATTAAACAGCAACGATGTTATGGTGTTATTTGTTCTTTTGTACGACAAACTATTACATGAAGTACTTTACTGTAGGTACAATGTCTGAAGACTAGATATTGTGCGTCCCTACATTTATTTTTTAACGGTGGACCTCTCGTATCCCCCTTGCGGGCGGGACGCCAAATTAGGTAATAATGAAGAAGCCCCCTGTGGATTCATACATTTGTCATCACCAGATTGCCCCTATAATAATACCACCTGACTTCTAAAACACGCTGTTGATAGAGAATTTGAACCGAAACTTTAATTTTCTTTCCAGTACACAAAAAA